ACTCAATCAGTGCCTGTCAAATGAATGGACAGATGCTTGAACAGAAATGCCTCCCATGGGCCGACCCCGTGGCGCACTCGGGAGAGTGCGGCGCTGGGAGCGCAGCAGCGCTCCCGCCGCGGGTTCGGATCCTATATAGGGATGGCCGGTGCACTCACTGACTGAGCGCGGTGCAGCTGGTCACAAAAAAGAGAAAAAAAAAAAAAAAAGAAATGCCTCCCCAGTTGGTCTGCTGGAGTCTAACAGGATCCAAGAGACCCACCCCAGATCTGCCTGGCTTTGAAGTTTCCATGATGCCCTCTGGGCACACTGCCTCTCACCCAACTGGAAGCCCAGGACCAAGGGGTGCTCAGTGAAAGCAGAATGAGGACAGGAGCCTGTCAGCCACCACCTTCCTCCTAGCATTCTCAGCCTCCAGAGCCCCTGCTCTGTGAAGGAAAGTGGATGCCCTGCCCATCTCGGGGGTCACTCTGCACCTCCACGGCCCCGCTTCCCTTGGCCCCAAGGGACAGACCATGTGTCTATTTCCACCTAGCCCTCCTGGAGCTCCACACCAAGATGTGCCTAAGAGCAGGCCTGGCAGGGAGGTGGATTCAAGTGCCATCCACAGCCTTTTCGAAGGAAGAAGGGCAAGGGACTGAGGACGTAGAAGCTCTGGCCAAGTGTGTGGCGTGTGTGAGGAAAGACCAAGTAGCCTGGCCTCCCCAGGGACCCGGCCTGGGCACAGGGCCTCCAGCTACAGAGCTAACCCATCCAAGGCCTTCTTCATGCTCAAAGAATCCTAAACATCCCTCCAAGGACTCCCATCCCAGCCAGCACAAGGCCATGCTCACAGAAGGCAGGCAGTAACTGTGTGGTGAGCAGCCGTGAGCTCTTTCAACAGGTTGCCCCCCCCGCAAATCCCTCTGAAAGCCAACTGCGGATTCAAAGCTGCCAGAGAGGAAAAGGCAAAGGGGAGGGGGGGTCTCTCCAAGCCACAGTCTGCTTCTTGGATAGCCTGGCACCCAAGTACAGAGCAGGAGGAGCCCCTGGAGGGACCTCTCCTCTCCTTCTGGCCCAGCCTGCCTCCTTTGTGCAAAGAGGGATACTGATGAGGCACAGCGGACAGAGGTGAGGGTCAGACCAGAGTCTGCCTGGCTGTGCCATTCACTCATCCTATGAAGTGGCCCTGGCGAGTCATTTCTTTGCCCTGGGCCTCAGTTTCTCCATCCATTGGCTAAGGAGATGATTTCTGTCTGTCTCCTCCAGAGAAGATTTGCTGTAAGTCAGTGCCTCCCTTGTGTTCCTCTCCCTGGGTATCACCAGCCACGTGCATGGGGCAGGCCACAGGACTGTTGCCAGATGGGAGCAGAGACCTCTTGGAATGTTTGGGATTCTTCCTGCGTGAAGGCTGCCTTGGACAGGTTGGCTGCTTCCCAACTCGCCAGACTCGGCTGGGGCCTCTGCCATCTCTCCCAGGACCCCTAGGAAAGCCTCCCAGATGCTATTTGGATGCATCTGCCTAGGAGGCCTCTGGCAGGGGCCTTAGCAAAAGCCCACCGTGCTCAGTGCCAGCCTGTGCCTGACCCCTAATCCATGGCAGTGACTTCAGCTCCACCCCCACTTTATGGTCCTGAAAACCTTTCTCCTTGGACCTCACAAGACCTAGTTCAGTGCCTCCAAACTACCCACCTCTGAACTTTCCTGTACTACCCCGTCCACTGAAAGGAAACTTTTTCAAAGGTCTAGGGTGTCACATGGGTGTGTAGCAGCTTCTAACCCACTGCCACCAAGGCAAGACAGGGCTTTGGAGCTGGACCAGCCCAAATTCAAATCATATCTCTGCTACTCCCTAGCTGAGTGACACAGGCTCAGTTATTTCAGCTCTCCTGACCCCAGTTTCCTCACCCATAAGTGGGGATAACACCATTAGCTCATGGGGTGTTGTGGGGATTCTGACCATGCATTTGAGGTGCTCAGCAAGTCCCCGGCATACGGTAAGTGCACAATCAAATGTGGTTCAAACCATAAAAGTGTGATTTACCCAAAGTGGAAATACCTTTTGTGAAATACTCTGCACAGTGTCTAGCACACAGCAGGGCACTCAGAATATGGTAGCTGTGAGGATTACGTTTGTAAGGAGGCCTCAGAAAGATGAGGCTGAGGAACAGCCCAATATACCACCTGCTCTACCTGCTCAAATTGGGTCAGGCAATCTGTGTTCCCAGCTGTTGCCAAGGCACCCAACACACAGAAACACTCCAACTAGGAAAGCGGGCAATGCAGGGGTGGGACCTCGGGCCTGCTGAACTCTGGCACCACCCATGCTGCCACCACCAGGTCTCTGGGCCACCTCAGGGGTCCCAGGAGTTGGGGGGAATGTACTACTAGATCTGGGCCCAGGATCTAACAAGGTCCAGTTACCCCAAGCCCTTCCCCAACTTGAAAACAATGGGGCCTTGGCTATCTGGAGGGGTGGGCTGTGAGGCAGGGCTCACAGGCTGCAGACCAGGGTGCGTGGGGTGGGGGTGGAGGGAGGAGGAACCCAGGAATCCCATCTCCTGGGCAAAAGCCCAGCAAACAACAAAGCAGCTCTAAACGGGCCTCAGGCTCCAATGTCACTGTCCACTCTCTCCAGCTACACCTGCCTGGCAGCAAACAACTACCCAGCACCCATTGAGTGACCAATCTTGGGCGGTTCGTCAGTTCCTCCCTCCTCAGCCCCACTAATGTTTCAAATAGGACGAGGACTGGGAAAGGCTGTTTGGATTCGGCTGGGTTCGAGAAATCCGAGGCCCCTGGCCAGGAGGGAAGAAGGGAAAGCAGAGGTGAAATCCAGACCCTGTGAGTTAAGACCTGGAACTTTCCAGACTTTCCCGGATATGGGGGCAGGTTTAGGGCAATGGAAAGGCTAATAAGTAAGGGGCAGTGGCTCCAGAGCCTGGGAAGCCAGGCAAGACCTCATTATCAATTCTTCAGTGGAATCTAAGACTGTCCCCATCCCCAGCTCACCTGGAGGCCCCCTGCTGACTCTATCCATCACCCCCAAGAACTGGGAGGGGCTGGAACCTGGCCCCTCTGCCCATAGTAATCATAATTGCTGCAGCAATTTGCCTAGGCCAGACATGGTACATACATTATCCATTCCACCTCACAACTCTGTGGTGGGGGGGAGGGATATGATTCCATCACCCCCAAGAACTGGGAGGGGCTGGAACCTGGCCCCTCTGCCCATAGTAATCATAACTGCTGCAGCAATTTGCTTAGGCCAGACATGGTACATACATTATCCATTCCACCTCACAACTCTGTGGTGGGGGGGAGGGATATGACTTCCCCATCACACAGAAGAGGAAACTGAAGCTCAGAGGCACAAGAGGGGAGTGGTTAAAAGCACATCCTGAGTTTGAATCTAGCTTCCACTGTATTAACCCAGGCATGTCACTTCCTCTCTGAGCCTCAGTTTCCACCTCTGTAAGATGGGGATAATAATCCTACGGGACCCCTCCTCCACCTCTGCTCCATGACATAGCCAAGGGGTTAAGAGAGAGGTGTTAGTAAAACAGGGAGCGCAACCACCAATAATTGCTGGTTCTTGCAATCAGAGAGGTCAGGTAACTCGCCCAAAGTCATCCAGCCAGTGAGTGACTAACTCCAAGCCCTAGCACTGAGCACAATCCTCTCTCTGAAACCTTGGGCCACTGTGTGGATGTCCATGGGATCACAGGCTTCCCAGGCAACTGAGGATGGCCACCACCCCCACTGCAAGGGGCAGCCCTTGTCTAAATTCCTCAGATAAGCAGCTCCCAGCAGAACAAGGAGCCAGTACAAAGAACAGGCACCCCACCCTGTCTACAGAGAGTCCTAAATCTGGGTTAGGCCACACAGTTCCCTTCCCTTCCCCTCTTCCCAACAGAACATTCGAGCTCCTGATTCATCCAACAGGTCTCCTAAACAGGGCATTCAGCTGACAACTGCCTTCTGTGAGGTCCATGGAAAGCCACTTACTTTCCCTTTCTGAGCCTCAGTTTCTCTATCTGTAACACACACCCCATCTCGGAACAGTGAGGCAGATCTGGCTAACTGGACCCACAAGGAGGTCTGAGGAGCAAAGAGCAGAGGAGGTGAGGAAAGCAGTGTGCCCCAGGTGCTGGGCCAGGCCCTGCACTGCATTCTATCTACTGAAATTTCTGCACAACTCTGACGGACAGACATGTATTAGGCCCACTCTCCAGAAGAGAAAACAGAGGCCCAGAAAGTAACAGATTGGGACTTGAACCCCCATCTATAGGACTCCAAGGCTCTGTCCAGACAGGCCAGGACTTCGTGACTTCAGGTGGGCACAGTCAGTTGAGGGGCAGCGTGGGAACTCAGCTTCACTCAGCAATAAGCTGGGCAGCTGGACCTGCCAGGATGGGGATGAACACAAAATCAAACTCAAGGGAGCTACTTTCAGAGAGGGCAGCAGCCGCCTCCACAAGGGCATTTGCAATGCAAAGCAGCACAGCTCCAGCCAGAAGGGGACAGTCATTCAGAGGGGGCTGGGTAGGCCAAAATCCAGCCACCTCCCTCCAGCCAGACCGAGGTATGCCTGGGACCAGGCATTCCCAGCCGCTGGGGGGTGCCAGATAACCTGTGGCTGGCCCAGGCTCTAAATCATTTGACAGCCCAAGTGGCCAGCTGGGGTGCAAGGTGTCTGGAACACCCCTCCCCTACTCACTCCTTCAAGGCACAAATCCTGCTGGACGCTAACCTGCAAGCCTGCAGAATGGGCCTACTGCAGGCTGTGTACAGGGCCCTAGAGGGGGCTGAAAGAATAGACTCCCAGGTCTGTCACCTGCAGAAGGGTGCCTGGCACCCTGCCAGCTTCCTCAGACCCAGTCCTGCCTTGTGCAAACCTGCCCCAGATACACATAATCCCCCAACTCTCCCTGCCCCAAGGGGCACTTCCACACTTGCCAAGCGGCTAGATCTCGCTCACCACCCCTCTCCCCTGCAAGCGTGACTGCCCCAGCTCCTACCTGGACGACAAGCTGACAAAATCCCCGCCATCCAGCAGCCGGACCTTGCAGAAGAGGACCCCGTTCACGAAGGGGACCGCAGTCAGCTCCTCCAGAGTGAAAGTGGTTTGGAATTTGAATTTCTTCTTCTTCATCAAGAAAGCCATGAGCGAGTTCCCTGAGTCTGAAGCCCGGAAGGCCAAAATAAAGGGGAGAACGGGCAGAAATCCCCAGGATTTCTTTCCCTGCACACACCCCCTCCTCAAAACACCAGAGCCGGATCCCGCCCAGATGGTGGCGGAGGCGGCGGAGCAGGCGGGGATGAGTCCGAAACCCCAGGTCTGAGCAACCAGTCCAGTTCGCGGGCCCGCTGGCTTCACCCTCGGGGAGCTGGGGCTCGGAGGGGCTCGGAGCGGCTGGGGGCTGCACTGGCATGTAAACAGAGGGACATGGCCCAGGAGGCGGGGGCACGGGTGGCGGGCGGCGCGCGGGCGGCCGC